CGAGCCTGCTGGTGTCCATTTGAACAGTGGCGTCTTCTGGAAGCTTCCATATCTGGGGTATAATAAAAATGCCACTTGTTGTCATTGTTAAAACACCTGGTTAAAACACCAGTTAAAACACTCTTTGGCTTGTGCTTTGTCCCCTTTCACACCCTTGCCCATGCCCCCCACCCCAACTAAAACATATACATTACTAGATTTTTATGTCACGGATTTCCTGCTCTTTTCAAAGTAGTCTTGGGAGGGAACTTTGATGATGCCTTTACTTATTATTTTCTCTTTATTTAAAGGCATCCTTTTAATGGCTTTCCCGGGGGGGGGGGAATGCAAGCACTTTTTAACCCTAACAGTTAGGGACAAAATAGGTATCCTTACCTGTGAGTGATATATTTGTTTGAAGAGATGGACCTAAACACTTTCATGCATTAATCAGTCTACCTATCCATTCATTCCTTCATCATTTAAGCTCCTGCCATGTGTCAGGCTCTGTGTAAACATTTTCCATACGTTCTCTCCTTTAATCCTTACAACATTGTGCAGGGAAAACACTGTCATCCTACTTGATCAATGATAAATTGAGGCTTGGAGATATTAGTTACCATGCCCACAGTCACACAGCTGGTAAGTGGTGCCGTTGAAACCTGAACCCTCACAGTCTGATCCCAGAGCTCCAGTGCCGGTACTTGGAAATATGTGCCTTATTTTATAGGCAAAGAAGAGGCGCTGAATTAAATATTGTGTCTAGGTTTGCAATCTTGAAAGATTTAGGTTTTGGTTAGACCTAATTTAAAAGTCTAACTCGGGTGCTTCGGTGGCTCAGCCGGTTAAGCATCCAACTCTTGATTTCTGCTCAGGTCAGGATCTCACGGTTCGTGACTTTGAGCCCTGTGCCAGGCTCTGGGCTAACAGTGTGACACCTGCTTGGGATGCCCTCTCCCTCTCTCTCTTCCCATCCCTCCCCGCCAAAATAAATGAACTTAAAAATTTTTTTTAAAAAGTCTAACTCCACCTTATGACATGGAGCTGGTGGGAGTCACTGGGACTCTTCCATTGTTTTCTTGCTTTTTCAACACTGTTGTGGGGGGCATTCAGTGAGTGACTCAGCCCGGTGAGCGCTCAGCCTGGCACGCACTGTCCATATAGAGAGATACTAGTGTCACCCCCCAGGGCCACCGCCCCCCATCCCCTCCTCTGGAGGCACCAGGACGATGGGTTTTATGCGAAGACAGACACCGAGCCTGGGGTCGGAGGGTGATGGCGAGAATGCAAACATGACACATTATGAGCAAACATCATGAGGTTCTGACCTCAGACAGATATTGAGGGAATATCCCGGAGACAGAGTTAACCCCTGTTGAAATATTGCACGTGGGACCGAGAGGAAACAAATTGCCGGAAAACTTTGGGATCTGCAGTTTGTGTGACCGGGGGAGAAGGCTCATCAGTCAAGATGAGGAATGACAGAGGCGGGTGGCCGTGCTAGGACCAAGCCTGGCACATAGTAGGCACGCGGCAAACGGCTGTATGCGTGACTGCTGTGATCCGCACGCAGACGTTTTCAAGGCTGACGTACATTTGACAGTGTCCTTTGGTGAATGTGTTCCTGGTTTTTCAGTGGGGTGAAATGCAGAGGCTGTCCTCCAAGTGCAGTAATTAAAGCAATTTGACGGGAACTCTTAGGGATTTTACTCCTGCCTTTAAATGAACCCTTTGCTCCAATAAGATGGTCTCTCTCATGACCCCCTCCAGCCCCAGGCACATATATATCTCTGTGCCTTTGCTGAATGTATTGCCTGAGAATTTGACCAGCACCTGTCCTTGCCCATTCTTCAAAGCAGAAACTTTGAGGTCGCTTCACAGTTAGACTGTAACGTATGTCTGTGGCCCTAGCTTGGTTCTAAATCCCAGTTTTTCCTTAGTGTGTATTGTTCTCTGCACATGGGGGTGTTTCTGGCCTCTCAAAGGACATTGTATGCTTCTTTTGTTCCTCCTGAATGGAGCGGTGTAATGCTTTGCAATAATAGGAACTCAATAAAGGACTCTTACACTGAAGATACAATTAAAGTCAAGAATGAATTTTTGTGGAACACCTCCATGCAAATGTACAAAAAATCTTCAAGAAAATGAGGATACGTTGAGTCATACATTTCCTGGTACTATTCATTCCTCTTGAGGTACTATCGTTCTGCTCAACCTAGCATTTTCACCACCTACACCTGCCATCTGGAGTCATAGGCAAGGGGGTAGAAGGCGTGTCAAGTCTTCAAAGGAAGTTGCTTTTCTTCAAACGTTGATGGAACTACACCACCATTGACTTCTTAGGTGGGGACCGCCATCTTGTCCCCATGAATTGCATGTCACGATTTTGTTTGTTTGAAGATGACCATGAAGGAGCATGGGTCTGTGACAAGTGATTTTTTTGCCAAGATGTAAATCTGAATTTTGTGTTGCTGAGTGGGCTTAGCTGTTCGCCCAGTCAGTAGCCTTCCTTTTCTTCAATTTCTGCATCGTACCCCCTAATTCTTGGGAGTGATGTCTTCGTGGTTGCTTCCTGTGGGGTAGTAGGATATCATAATGGCATCAGACATCTGAGATGTGTGAAAGTCTGAGACCTATCTCCTGATGAATGTTATTAGATTCCCATGGTTAAAGATGTTAAAGATTCCCATTCTTTCTGTCTTGATAAAGAATGTCTTGCCAAGCTGCCGAGTGTTTTTTGAGTACCATACACCCTTCTTGTTTCCCTTAGCAGAAGTCATACCCTTGCTGGTGATTTTTCACTCTCTTTTGGCCGTGGTTGTCTCTGGCAACAGATGCAAATTTTAGAAAGCTGGAGTTAAAAACCGCAGTTAAACATAGGTCTCCACCGAGAGCAGTTTCTGCGGACTGCAGCAAAGGTGCCCTGGTTTTCAAAACCAAGTTCTTTTTGTTCCGTGATCAATTAGACACTGAAGCTCTGTGTTATCTGGGAGGCAGGGAGCGGGGCTGCTCTCCCCAAAATTATACCCAGAAACCATCTCTTCCCTGTTCGCATGCCCAGTCCTGATGTGTTGACTCCTTTCAGAAGGTTCCAGTCCAAATAAGGCCCAATTAGCAGCAGCCTGAAAATCGTGTCTGTGCCTGTCTTTTCCCGTAAAACCCTTGGGGCTGCTAAAGATTCTAATTTTATTCTCCTCTTAATACCGGCCGAAGGTGCCATATCTTTCTGTGGAATGTTGACCCCCCTTGCTATTGTGGCTAGCTCTCATGTTTCAGTGACAGCAAAATGGAGAGAGATTAGGACACCTGACGGGAGACACTCATATTCGATATTCGATATCGATAGATTCGATATCGATATTCATATTCGATAGAGCCCAGCAACAGACCTGTGAAAGAAACTGGCCATCCCAAATCATCAGCATTCGTTTCCTTCCCTGAGTCAAAGAAATCACTGTGCTCTCTGCATAAGCCCCGTGTTGAGTTCATTTCCCTGACCCTTCCTTAATTTTTGGCTCGAGGGTGTTTTTAATAACGTGGTATGTTTATGAGTCAAAGGAGGCCAAGTTTCTGGCTGGGCTCCGGCGAGATGGTGGTAAAAGGAAATGTTTGGGGACTTAGAGGGAAAGTCTGAAAGAAAGGCGCCTTCTTTTGGATCTGTTTAGTGTGACTTAGCTAATCATTTCTGAGTGTGGGCTAGGGGGGCAGAGATGCACAGAACCCTCTAAGGAAAATCAGGGTTGAAAACTTACCGTTGGGGTGAGCCACTTGAAAACACACGGTGAATTCGTTTGTGTTTTATCTGGAAAGGAATGATTTAAGTCAAACGGAGCAGCAGAAATTCATGCTGGCCCAGCTGGAAAGGACCGGAGGATGGGGGATAGGTCACAGTGCGGGCAGGTGAGCGGGGTAGAGGGCCGAGGCCAGCATGAGGCAGGTCAGTAGGCAGTCTGCAGACAGACAGCTGGGGGGGGGGGGGGGGGGGGTTGGGGGGGGGGTATTTTTCCATAAGAAGCCCTGTTCTAACCACTCCTGTGGCCACAGATCTCCCTCTCCCCCCACCACCACACGGGGCATTGCAGGTTTGACGTCCATGGACGCTCATCTTGCCAGGGTTCATTTCCGCCTAACGAGTGTGTGCAAGGTGCCGAGAGAGGTGAGGCGGTGGGATTTGTGGGGCACTTGCTGTCTCTTCTCACACGTCATCTGCGCAAACCCCTCCCACCTGCCAGCCGCTTCTGAGCTATCCGCCAGTGAGTCCAGGCCTCTGGGCTCTGACCTCTCACAAGCCACCTCCCCATCATGTTGACCGCACGGTTTGGAACCACAGTGTCACCACCCCGTTCCGTCTGTCCATCCCCTGAGCCTATGTCTCAAGCCCCTTTTGAAATACGTTCTGCCACTAGCATGTGGCTGAGCGTCATTCGTAGGGGCCGAAGTGGCACCTGTTGATTAACCGGTAAACTGATTACATTAGGGCCTCATGGTAGACATGTGCCAGCCTTCCAAAGATGTACAATGACTTTATTTAAATTTTAAGTAACATCTGCTTGATAAGCATTTGCAGTAGATGTGATACTGCAGGAACAGAGCCTCATTTCAGGCAAAATATTAAAGCCTTCTTAGTATTTTGAGACAGAGGTCTGTTTCCTCGCTATATTTTATTCACTTGACACATTTATTAAGTGCCCACTCCGTGTGTACCAGGCACTGATGACATATTCGAGGTCTAGGAATTAACTGCGTCGGAAAATATGAAAAGAAAATCATATTTAGGGAGAATCTCTCCCTTTTGGTTAGCTGAGGCAAATATTTATTTGTTGATGATTAATTCCTAGTGAAACCCAGAGAGCATTTCTTTATGCAGACATTTCTATCTGCTACTAACAAAAAAAAAGAAAGAAAAGAAGAGAGAGAAAGCAGTAGGTATAGTTGGCTACATATGCAGATTTGGAGACATTGTCTTTATCTGGAAAAAGCTCCCAGGCCAGAAGAGAGGACAAAGACAGCAATGTGTAACATCAGACATGTGCCTCTGCTGTTGGCTTATGAAATGTTTCTATACCACCCACCCTGGGCAGACTCCCTTCCACACTGCAGCTGATAGGTGAGCATCTTTCATAAAGATGACCCCATTTAACGTCCATAATCAGTCCATTAAGTCCGCGCTTTTACCAGCCTCCTCTTAAAAACAGGGGAACGGAAAGCTAGAGAGAGTCAGCATTTCACCTGAGGTCACTCAGCCTGTGCTTGGTGGAGCTGCTCACAAAACAAGTAGTTTGCACCTTTCCACGATGGAGAAATTAATGGAGAAATTAATTCCAACAAGGGAAATTGGTAATCAAGTAAGCCTGCGGAAATGGATGCCATTCAGACTGGGTGCTGACACGTGATTGGGACTGCTGTGTTGGCAGATATAGGGGAGTCAAGAACATACCAGAAAGAGAGCAGTTCCATAAGGCACAGAAAGGTAAGGCGTTAGCAAAAGGCAGTTTTCTGTCCATTGTTAGCAGTTTGGAAAGATGTCTCTTCTCTGATCCTCCCCTCTCCCGCGCTTCTAAATTTTAGGAATCTCTGCAATGTAGTTTTAAACTTCCTTCAAATAGGAATAACCTAAGATAGTCCGCGTGGCACTTCCATTTCACGTAAACATCAAGATTGTGCGAGAGTTAGTCTACCACCAGTCTCCGCAGCGATCAACGGCCAACAAGAGTCATAACGTGGTGGGGACTCTTCACTGTAAGGTAGCCCTCCTGGGTGGTCTGTCGGCAATCTCTGCCAAAAACTATGCCTTATTTCAGAGAAATGCCCCAGGTCTCTGCTTATTGGAAAAATGATCAGCCTCTCTTATTCCTTTAACTCAATGAGTAAAAATGGTTGCACTTAGCCCATAAGGCTGTGACTGGTATGCTAATTCTCAGCTTCCTGGGCATGACAGACTCTATTTCCTTTTCAGTAGAAATATTGAGTGCATACGTACATTTTTGCTTTCTGGATGATACTGTAGTTTCAGATTTAAAAATTCTGTTTGTGTTCTTGCATTTTTCTAATGGAAGCATCCAATGAAACATTATTAGTAATTCAATTCCTAGTCAAGATATCACCAACTATTTGTCAGTTTTAAAATAAAAACTAAATCCAAAACATCTGAAACCATCCAAAATGGCAATTGAGTTTCAGTGGGCCATGTCAGAAGTTTCTTGGGGGTCGGGGTGGGGGATGTTAAAAGAAAGACACCAATAAAAATAAATCAGTGCAATTATGGGGGCAGGGGGAATGTTAGAAAAAGTGAATCCAGAGTAATAGGAAACCCTTTACATAATAAATATTATATAGTGAAATAATATTGAGCAATCAAGTTGTTGAAAACATGGCAGGGAATAGAAATGTCTACAAGGTAAAAAATGTGTTCCTGACTGAGGTGATAATTAAACTGGGGAGCAACGTCTGCTTCACAGATACATCAGGGATCAGACTTTATACGATGGAGACACTTGAAACACGGTATGATACGGGGGTCACTGCCTAGGTCACGTTGTTTGTAAGTGATAGAGGGGTGGAGCCAGGGCTCAGGGCTAGCCAATGGCAGCTCTCCGTGTGCTGAGAGAGAATGGAAGGCCTAGTCATGTGCGAGTTCAGCAGCTTTGATCAACTGCTCAGTGGGCAGTTGGGCAGCTCCCATTTTCCAGATCTTCTCTAAGAATGGAAGCCTCAGGAAGACCCATGATGGAGCTTGCATTCATTGGGTGCATTCGTGCCTGAAGACGTAGCCCTTCCAAGGAGGGAGACACCCAGCAGATGACAGCCCTACATCTGCCCACAGTGGACTTTCAAAGCACAAAGTGCCTGGGGCATGTGGGTGGCTCAGTTGGTTAAGCCTCTGACTTCGGCTCAGGTCGTGACCTCCCGGTTAGCGAGTTTGAGCCCCGCATCGGGCTCTGTGCTGATGGCTCAGAGCCTGGAGCCTGCTTCGGATTCTGTGTCTCCCTCTTCCCCTCCCCAGCTTGTGCTCTGTCTCTCTCAAAAATAAAAATAAAGGGGCGCCTGGGTGGCGCAGTCGGTTAAGCGTCCGACTTCAGCCAGGTCACGATCTCGCGGTCCGGGAGTTCGAGCCCCGCGTCAGGCGCTGGGCTGATGGCTCAGAGCCTGGAGCCTGTTTCCGATTCTGTGTCTCCCTCTCTCTCTGCCCCTCCCCCATTCATACTCTGTCTCTCTCTGTCCCAAAAATAAATAAACGTTGAAAAAAAAATTAAAAAAAAAAAATAAAAACATTAAAAATTTTTTTTAAAAAAGCGACTTTTACCTCCCAAGGATTTCATTTTAGAAAGAAAACGTGAACTTCGTGGGGTATCCCATGAAGGTATCCCATGAAGGTATCCCTATCCCGCCTCTTACATTTTCAGGATTGCTCTCACGCTGCAGATAGCATTTCATACTCTTGCTTACTGACTTTCCTCATGTTGCTTCCTGAACCAAGGAGCTATTGAGAATGGCCAGCCAATGACCACGTGAGTTCAGGGGCTAATTTACAGAAGACCCCTTCATAGGTGGGTAAATCTACTAATTTTATTATTTTACTTTATTTTTGCCGGAAAAAAAGCTAAAATTAAAAAAACAAAACAAAACTTTCTAGACCAGTCACTGGTGGAAGCCTTCCACTCAGCCTCGAGAGTACCACGAAAGAACGTTCTGCGTGCGCTCGGAAGGCCACGTTGACTTCAGCGGCTTCCTCACATCCGGGCACACACCGAAATAGGACCTCCTTTTTTCTCTGCTCCAGTCCTTGGGGGAGCTAATGGTAACTATTTTGTCTCTGTGTGAGCTGTAGCATTTTGCATTGTTTCATGCTTTTTTGGATAAAAAGTATCATTTCTTTCTGAGAAAATTTTAGCTTTTTTTTTTTTTTTAAATGTTTATTTGTTTTTGAGACCATGCGAGACACAGAGTGCAAGCAGCAGAGGGGCAGACAGAGGGAGACCCAGAATCCGAACCCAGGCTCCAGGTTCTGAGCTGTCAGCCCAGAGCCCGACGTGGGGCTCGAACTCCTAGATCGTGAGATCGTGACCTGAGCCAAAATCGGACGCTTAACCAACTGAGCCACTCAGGTGCCCCCGTCTGAGAGAATTTTATTTGCTAAGGACAGATACTGGGAATTAATACCACGTCCCTGATATGCAGGGTTTTAAGAGCCAGAGTAACCGTCAGATGCTGCAGACGAACAGGAGGTTGGACGTGTTTGGTTTCTGGCTGGTTCTCTGAAGGCTTTCTGCAGCTGTGGGTGCTACACAGGCCATCGCTTCTTGGAGCCGTCCCGAGTGGAGGCAGTCAGAACTGCACTAACATTCTGGGTCCCTTGTGGCAATCAAATTCTGTCAACAGCTCCGGAAAGTAGACACGGTGATCCTTATTTTGCTGATGACAACATCAGGGCAAGGATGGTTTGGTGGCTGGCACACAGTAACTTAGTGACGGAGCCTGGATAGAAACCAGGTTCCGTCTATGTGGGTGGATACATGGTTCCACTGCCCTACTCTGGAGATGCTCAAGGGGTATACTGCAGAGAGAGTGTGCCCTTTGTCCCCAAGTTTTATAGTTTGCTGGTATTTTGGCATTTTAAAAACTCTCATCAGGGCATGGTGGCAAGTTGCATAGTCTTAGAACACAAGTGAGAAATTTGGGCTGGCAAATCATCTTTGAAACTCCAGTCTTTTTCCTCTCCCTGACTCCCCACACGAAGCCCGGCTTTTAGCCAGTAAGGTCTTGGGTGTTGCCCCGTACAGGACTTGCAAGCTTTTGGAGACTTCGTGTTGAGTGTTGGAGCCGCGTAAATTGACATACCTGCTTTGAAAGCCTTTTTGGTTTTTATTTTTTTGAGGGTTGCTGATAGGCTGTCCCCTACCCTTTAGTATATTTCCAAAGTCTGTGTTTGTGAATGCGACAGTCTAGGAGAGAAGTTCATGCTTTTCCTCTCCACATATAAAGTCTGGTAAAGAAGGATTAGCCTCATCTTTCTACTCTTGGGAGGTGGGATTCATGACCCACCGATGTCATTAGAGACACCAGCAGCAAAAAGTATGAGAGAAGCTTACAGAGCATTTTGCATAAACATTGCCAAATGCCGTGTGATCTAAAGTCCTCCGAGGAAGTTGACGGTGCTTCCGTTTTTCCGGATGAAGAGATTCCAATTTAGAAAGGTCACAGGGACCTGTCGGGGCATGGAGACTTCTGCCCCGCCTTCCCCTTTGCCCCCTTCCCCCTCCTCTCCCCCCTCCCCCCCAGTCCAGGGCTCTGCTGCCTTTGCTGCCCTGGGCTGCCTTTTACTTTCCCGAAGTGATAGCGGGAAGCAGACTGTTTCTCCAGGATTCTGAAACTGGGCAAATAGCAACAAACCTGCGGTCCCAATAATGATGTGATACTTGCTAATAATAAGGATAACATGGGGATGCAGCGGGTTTGACCCGCTAGGTCTACTTTCTGGTTATTTAAATATGTCGAGACCTATGGGCATCAACCGCCAGACACTGAAGCGTATTCTGTACGATCTGTATTTGCCTTTTATAAAGTCGTGCTGTTCTTTGAGGTACTCCACCTAACTTTTAAGAACTTTAATTTTTCTGTGTACGAATAGCATTAACGCAGCCCCGAGGAAAGAAGAGAGTCCGCGAGAAAGAAAGTCTGTTTTGTCTTATGTTGTTACACTAGGTTCCGAGCTGTCAAAATGCGAGTATTCGGTAAATACAAGTGTGCATTATATCTGCTATCTGCACCTTTTAGTTAATTTCCCTTTTAAATCAAAGAAAAGTCATTCAAAATACAAATAAGAAAGTGGAAACAATTAACAGCTGGGGATTCAAGCGCCTAGGGTATATTAAATATTTATGTACTGACTTCTCCATAGAGCTTTTCTGCATTCCCCTCATCGAAATGAATTTCTTTCTCCCCTATCGTTACCTTCCCCCCCCCCTTTTAGTTTTGTGGCATCACTTTCTATAGATTGCCTGTGGTTCTGGGGGGTCACTGTGGCGGGAGACTGGGTGGGAGCTTCCCACCAAAGTGCTTCACTCGGGGATGTTGTGCGGGGTTCTTAACATCTCTGTGCATCGGTGTCCTATGTTCAGTGACATCAGTGCTGCCGCGTACCTCACAGGAGTGCCGCGATGATTGAGTCCGTATTTCATGCAACGCACAGGGGCCGGGTGCTCCGTAACGCTGATGTGAATACTTTCTTGTCTTCCACCTCACTCTCCTCTGCTCGGGGGCCTATTCGTTCGTACCCGTGCTCCTGCACTAGCTCCTAACAAGTCTCTCTGTGGTCAGTACGGTATCAGTGTCAGAAAACCAGATCGCCGGGGCGCTTGGGGGGCTCAGTCAGTTAAGCGTCGGACTTCGGCTCAGGTCATGATCTCTCAGTTCATGGGTTCGAGCCCCGCGTCTCTGTGCTGACAGCTCGGAGCCTGGAACCTGCTTCGGATTCTGTGTCTCTCTCTCTCTCTCTCTCTCTCTCTCTCTCTCTCTCTCTTTGCCCCTCCCCACTCATGCTTTCTTTCTCTCTCTCTTTCTTTCTCAGTAAGAAATAAACATTAAAAACCATTAAAAAAAAAAAATAAAAAAAACCCAGATAGTGCAAGTTCTTTCAGCAGAGGTGATTTGATACAGGAATCGTCGGAGCAGGCACGGGGAGGGCTGGGAAGGGAAGAATGGATTCAGGCCGAGCTACTTACTTACTGCAAGGAGCCGAGTACATCGAAGGGGGGGGGGGCCTGGGGAGCTCTCGGGGGGGCAGGGGACTCAGCCTCTGGGGGACGCGGTGTCTCGGGCCCCTTGGCATATCCGAGGTCCCTGGGCTGGGGGCACTGCCAGCTGCTGCTCCTGCGGGGGGTGCGATGGGGCTGCTTCTGGAGAGGGGGCAGAAGCTGGCAAAGGAGGCGACCGCTGCGGGTCAGAGCGAGGCGGCATGATTGGGCTGGTGCCATCTGAAAGGGCCTGCGGGCTGGAGGGACCCGCTGTTTCTCGCTCCTTCTGCCCCAGGAGGAGGTGAGGGCAGGGAGGGCAGATGCGGCTTGTGCCGCCAAAGGAGGGCAGAGGGCGGGCCTCGGGCCGAGAGACGATCGCCTGGGAACCGACCCAAGTATCTTCTCCACCCCCACCTTCCGCAGACTCCTCTCGGCTGCATTTCTCCAGGCGCCGCTTGGAACACGGCTCTTCCTGCTCTGATGCGCAGTGGGTCGGACGGCATCTGGGGGGGACGTTGGCGGTTGCTTGACATTTGTGTGTAAGAGGCGAGGAGGTATTCGCTGGCCCGCTGTGGGGGGGCGCGTGGGAGTTTGGGGTTCAGGACCTGCCCCGCAGATGTCCACCAGTCACAGCCAGTGGCTGCTTCATCGTGGGTTTTCAGAAATCATTAGCATTGCAACATTTGTGTTCAACCGACCCGTCGGTTTTGTCTGTGTATCACGCCATCTGTACCACCCCCCCACCCTTGTTCTTCATGAGGACAGAAGCCTCCGCCCGCAGCCCAAACCCTCGGAGCCCACCAGAAACAGGGGTTCCCTGGAAAATTGTGCTCTGGAGCAGTGTGCCCGGTGGCCTTCTCCCCCGGTGGCCTCCAGGGCTCTGCAGCGTGAGGGGGCCCGCCTTTCTGTATCGAGAGTGTAACCGTCGCTGTTCCCTTACCTCTCTTGGAAAATGGTCATTTCCCCGGCATCTGTGGCAAAGGAGGTTGCTGGGAAATGAAAGCCACAGAACTCTCAGGGAACGTGATTTTACAACAGTGCTGGAGTCCGTGGTCCTGGCAGGACTGTGGCTACGTGGGAAGACCGAGCCACTGACAGCCTGAGTCGACAGGCAGGCGCTCACCGTCGGCATGGCCCGGAAGTCCTGGTGGGCAGAAATGATCACTCGATGGAGATTGCCGATCTGAGTAATGTGCCCTTTGAGGTGAGGTACAAAATTTCATGCCAAAGAGGCAGGGGTGCAGGAGGAAGAACGAGAGAAACAGCTGGTTTGGGGCCCCTGGGAACTGTAACTGCGTAGGGATATGGAAGCATAAACGGGCAAAGGGGTGAAGGCCGTGTGCGTGCGCCTGCTTAAATACGTAGCTTAATCTATTTACAGATTTCCAGCTGATGGATTAGCCTTCCCCGGTAGACTGCTGCCAGACCGCAAATAACGGAGCACACAATTTTGTTTCCGCTCTAAAAACATATTCTTTGGGGCGCCTGGGTGGCGCAGTCGGTTAAGCGTCCGACTTCAGCCAGGTCATGATCTCACGGTCCGTGAGTTCGAGCCCCGCGTCAGGCTCTGGGCTGATGGCTCAGAGCCTGGAGCCTGTTTCCGATTCTGTGTCTCCCTCTCTCTCTGCCCCTCCCCCGTTCATGCTCTGTCTCTCTCTGTCCCAAAAATAAACAAACGTTGAAAAAAAAAATTTAAAAAAAGAAAAATAAAAAAAAAATAAAAACATATTCTTTGATGGGACATGTTGCCATGTTTTTTCAGTAAGCAACTAATCGGAAAGCCATATGGCAAAGTTTTAATTTATGGGCAATATCTAGCCATATCCCTTCAGCAGTTGGTAATTACCAGGTTTCGGCGCAGTTTGTCATAATCTTGCGACACGGGCTGATATTGTTACAGAGACACATTTTGTGGCAGGCGTAGTTCCCACAACTACGGGGTGTGGGGGGTGTGTGCGTGATTAGTGATTGTGAGGGGGGTGTGCGTAGGATTGCGTTTAAGTCCTAGAACATTCTTCCACATAACTGATGTTATAGATTAAATGCTCGTTGGTGGAGTCTTAGGCAAAGTCTGAACTTCAGTAATGTTTGGGAGAAGGAACCGTGACCTCAGCCTGTGTGTCACGTTGGCCCTACAAGAGAGGACAGTTTACTGGATTCTGGTTTCTCTTTTTTTTCTTTTCTTTTCTTTTCTTTTCTTTTCTTTTCTTTTCTTTTCTTTTCTTCTTTTCTTCTTTCTTTTTTTCTTTTCTTTTTTTTTAAAGATTTTATTTTGAAGTACTCTCTACACCCAACAAGGGGCTTGAACTCACAAACCTGAGATCAAGAGTTACACCCTCCACTGGCTGAGCCAGCCGGGTGCCCCTGGATTCTGGTCTCAGTACATCTGGTGCCCGTCCTCATGAGTGACTTTCTGACACCCCTCCTTCTCTCTCTTCCCCCTCTCTCCCTCCTTGTTCAGAGCCTGTTCCAACTCCTTCTCCCGGAGAAAGCTCACTTCAGAGGGGGAGGGCCGAGAAAGACAAGAAAGACGTTAGACTTCTCGTTTGTGTCCGATTTGTCAGGGACACGAACCAGCTTTAGCCAGAATAAGTTCCTTGGACCTTCAGTAGGCGAAGAGAGTGTTCTTTTTCCTGTAGGCTAAGGATTGAGATGGAAAGTAAAGGAAGCAAGTGATTCTTGGCCCTGACTGAGGTAGAATGTGGGCTGATCGCATATATTCAGCTTTGTAACAGTCGGGTAAGGAACACGGCCACACGGATGATGTCCTTGACCTATGGCACCTTGTCTGTCACCCTGTTTTAACAGATAGGAAACGCCCTGACTCAGAAGATTTCAGAATGTCATGCAAGGTCACGGGGCCACGGCACAGGAGAGCCGGGACATTACCCAGGCCTGTGCCCCTCGCAGCCCCTCCTTCAGGGTGTATGAAACCACACCGCTTCCCTTAGACACACTGAGGGTCTTAGACTCCCCCTTTCCTCTGGCCGCACTCTCTCTGCTTTTCCTCCAGCTGTCCCTTGAAATGCTGGAGTTGTCCAGGTAAAAAAAAAAAAAAAAAAAAGAAAGGCAGAAATTAATGAAATGAGATACGGCACGTGAACACAGTTTGGAAACTGTGAGGCCGTACAAGAAATGTCCATACTGGGAAGAATTGCCTTGTGCTCCTTTACGCGAACACTTCTCATTCTCACCTAATTACCAAGCTGTACAGTAACAGTTATGCGGGTGATTAGATAGACATCAGACCAACTCTTGTAAGACGTCTGAATTGCAGCGAAACGTCCTTCCCTTGGTTTCCAGGTTGACAGTACGTCGCTTGAAGAGCTTGGTCGCCTGCTGGCAACTGGGGGTGGGGGGAGGAATACAAACAATCAGCATAAAAAGAGGCAGCATTCCACAGAAGCAAAAGGTAAGGTTTTATTTCCGAGCTGCCCACTGGCATTTCTTGTGGGGATTGAATTTGTGGTCTTCGTAGGATTTTCATAAACCTTACGCTGGCTCAGGGATGGCATTTAAGGTATCAGCGTGAGAGCAGCTGAAGCCGTCGTCACCTTCTACAATTCAGACTATGTATCCCTATCGTTCTCACATCTGTGACCTTGAACTGGTTTCTACTCAGGCTGTTTTTCTACAATAACTGTGATTACTTGAAAGATCGAACAGGCACATATTAACTTGCGTGGAATATGGTTTTCAAACTACATTATAGTAGAGAACCGTTTGAAATGATACTCTGTGTACCACCCTTCAAATGAAGTAGCAGAAATGAGTGTTCGTCCCTTAACATTCTGACATGTTCTTTCAAAATACCGTGCAAAGAAAAGAACTTTTTTAAATGGAAGAAAATGGGCGAATTATTTCTTTAGAATTCTTAATGAGAGACATTACAATAAATGGCCATTGCCCGTCTGCCAGTGGGTTCATGACCGTAGTGCACTATAAAATTTAATGTCCTTGACTTTGGCACTGCAAATGCATGAGTTTTATAACGGTTCACGCGAGAGGTAATTGATTACACTGGATACATACATAAGGAAAATAAGCAAATGTTGCAAGTGCCATTTTTTGTTCTGATAAAATCAACTGTACTTTGAACAAGTTCATTTCAAAGGAAAGAGACTTTAATAAGAAAGAGAACATGTGACCATAGTGTCTTTGCGGGACGGTGGGCTTGATTGCTGACTTGGCACATGATCGGTAGGAAGGCCCGTTTATTGAGTTCTTCCTATATTTTGAACTTGGGCTGGGCACTGTTTGTCTAATTTAATCCTGACAGCAACCCTGTAGTTTGAAAGTACAGCTTGGATGGTTTAAGTAACTTGCCCAAGACCACCCAACCAGTAAATGGCAGAGATGATTTTCAGCCGCAAGTAAATTTCAATGTTATTTCCAGCGTCCTCAGAGTTTTGCATGAATATGTGATTTTTTTTCCATCACCCACTCTCCCCTTTCCCCCACCCCCATCAACCCT